AAAAAAAAAAAAAAAAAAGATGGAACCACCAAATCAGAAAACACTGAATTTGATCGTCATCATTTTGATGAACATCAAGGATTACGACAAAGAAAAGACAAACAGGTAGTACAAAGTCAAGCCGACTACCGTGGAACAAACAAATCAGAAAACACTATTGAACACTATTGAGCCCGAAGCCCTGAGACACTGTGGGAATTTAGAGCAGAACTTATAATGACGACTTCGACAAGCTGCTGCACGCGGAGCTCCCATCGCCATGTGAAATTGCATTGAACTGCGCGAAGTAACCAAACCCTGCAGATCACCACAAGACGCTCCACTCCTGCCATCCCCTGATCCAACTGCCAGACCGCTATCCCGACCAAACTCATCCCCTGCCTCTTCCTGCGAGAGAAGCAACTTCTCCTCCCCATAGCCAGTGCTGGTGCAGCCCGTTGGCGAAGTGCCCGTTGGCGAAGTGCACTGGCCAGAAGAGATTAATAGGACACCACCGCCTCCCTAAAACTTCTTGAAGGCGATTGCATTGTGAGTGACAGCGTCAAGCCTGTCAACGCGGTCTCGCAGAGAATTCAATCCATGTACAACGATCTTCAACCAGCTGGGTCAGACGAACCAAGAGACAGAGAAATAGAGGCAGAGGTAGGAGAAGAAAAAAACCAGGACACTCATAGCCCTCCCTCTCTTCGATATACACACCCTCTCTTCGCTGTACACGCTCTCTTCTTTCCACTGTAATCCCAACAACCCACCATCCTCCCCACCACACACCGTCCCTCCCCACCATACACCGTCTCACCAATCTGCCTTGCACCTTCCCCACATGGCATCCACCACATACACCCCTCCTGCCTCGCCACAATGGTCTCGGAACGCGCCATCACCGCCCTCCGCTAAGCTGTCGCGCTCACGCTAATCACTTTGTGGCTTTCACCCTAACGCGCATCCGCTCTCCGTTGCTTCGGCCCAGGTGGGGCACATCGCTACTGGTATCGCTGTGCCCCTTGTAACTGCAGTCATAATGTCTAGTAAATGCAAGTTGCACCAGAAGTTCTGGGAGTGCCTCATCATGGCTCTATACAATCGATCGATATGATGAACTCAATACGAAGGGAGCAACGTAACTCAAAAAAGTGCAAACGGAATGGAAACCAAAACAAGGAAACTACAAAATGGAAAAACAAAAATGAATAGACCATTGCACACAAACAAATTGATTACTTCTAAAACCTTATGAAGATCAATGAGTGTGGGTAGACTAGAATGCCGTTTTGCCTATCAAACTTTTTTTTTTTTTTTTTTTTTTTTTGAAGAAACATCTGCAAGGGGCCTATTCGCGGAGATGATAGGAGCAGCCTCCACGAATAGGTCCCTGATAGAAGATGGCTCCAGTGTATCGGTGGGGAGCTGCACCAGCTGGAAACTGGCACCAGCGTCCCCATTACTCATCAGGAGCCATTTGTCCACTTGCAATGGTGATGAGCAGCATTGATTGCCCTCTTACAAGGGATCGACTTCCCATCAAAATTCTAGGATGCATGCGCTCAGTAAACCACAACCCCTAACCCCCTGAGGGCATGCCACATGGCAAAACCTAAGCACGTACTCATTCACTCAGAAGGCACCCCTCCCTGTGGTCAGATTCAATGAGAGTTAAGCTGCCTTGGCAAAAACATTACAGATCAAGTAAAATCCCAACATCAGCAGAATCCAATCAATCAGAACTACTTAGATCAATCAGAATCCCGTGTAATCGAATGGAGAACAATTACCACCGATCAAAGATTACAGCAAAAACACCCCCCTCAGCCCCCTGACAGCAAAAGTAACAGGACCAATCAATCGAATCAGATTTCAGGGAGCCGCAACACAAGCAAGGAGGGGGAGGGCAACTCAATGAAACCCTACACATGCAGCATCCACAGATCATTTTCATGCTGCATCCTTACTGGTATGGAAATGCGCCTCACCCCTCCACATGGCGACACCGTCCCCTGGTAACCAGGTGACAGGGGGAAGTCGGGGGAAATCTAAGCAACGCAGGAACACCCAGGCGAGAGCGCCTAATAAAACCTTGAAAATTCCGCTGAAAGAATACAAAACACAAAAGATCACACAAATCGGATCACGAGAATTAGTCGTAAGAAGGAAGTGCACCCTGCCCTGTTCGAACATCAAATCACTGCCCAGACATGAGGATCTCAAAGGTTAGCGCCCCCCATGCAATCAACCATTCCATTTCCTGTCCACTCCGCATCTCACCCTTATTGCATCGAGATGACCAACCGCCAATGATAGGAGGACCCGCTGATACAAAACCCGTCCCTCCCCAACTGCCACACACCCGTGGCTGGTTGTGAATCAAAAGGCTCCCCAGTTCCCTCGGATGTCTTCTCGTTGCCCATAAGAGCTGGCATCGGGAGTCATCGTTTGTGAATTGAATAGTACACCAGTTCCGCCAGACGTCTTCTTGATGCCCATAAGAGCAGGCTTCAGCTCCACCAGACGTCGTCTTGATGCCCATAAAAGAGCTGGCGTCAGCGTCTGTGAATTACAAGGCTCGCCAGATACGCCAGATGTCTTCTCCTTCTCCATGCCCGTAGGAGCTGGCCACATGGTTTGTGGATTGAAAATCTCACCAGATCCGTCAGATGTCTTCTTGATGCCCATTGTCCATGATTGCTGAACACTGAACTTGAGTTTTAGACACCCCCGTTGATGGTGCTCCCCATTAACAGCGGACTCCAAGATCCACGTGGGAGTACTCAGTTCCTTTGTTGTTGACCTTGTAGAACTGATGATGTGTGATTCCACGGGCGAATGGCTAAGAAGCAGTTGTGCCTCCCTTACCAAACAATCTGCTAGTGGAGAAGGTGCTGCTCTTTCATTCAGCAAATCTGTAACCCATAGCGGATCACTTATTGATGTTGCTGTCATGCTTGTGAGATGAAGCGCGGACTGCGGTGGCGATGGTGACCGCGATTGACCGAGGAGAGAGTGTCCATCCACCACCATACTCTCTGGCAGCTCCCCTCCCATGCTCTTCACCTGTGCAACGCCCTGAGCACACCCCAAATCGAACATGTCGTAACAGTGGCTCATCCAGGCGTCCATCTGGCTCCTATCAGAAAGAGCATCAGGCTGACAAATGCACCCCTTCTCCAATTCCCCAATTACCTCCAGCATTTCCTGCATGGTAGCTTTCACCCACCCAACCAGTGTGATTGTTCCCCCCCCGATCTCAAACCTACTAGCTAGATCTGGCAAGGAGAAGGAAGCCGCCATCTCCTTCAATGGTCGCTCCCCAGCATACAGCATAGACAATCAACGAGGGACAGTCACCATCTCATGTCCTACCTTTGTCATCTGCATCGTAGAATCTTCAGTCATTTGTACCTAACCGTGAAGTCGCGTCACCGTCGTTACCACTCCACTTTGCCCAAGGCCGCCTACAGCACGCTGACCACAGGGTGCTTCCACCCCCGGGCCGCCCGTTTTGCCTTCTCCACTCACCACCTCCACATCAACCCCGCATCGCTTTGGGTTGCCACTCTTTCACAGGCGATGGCCTCGACGCCATTCAACCTCCTCGATGGCGCCGAGGAATTGAGCAGCAAGCAAGACCGCCCAGCCCTTTGGCCGGCATGCTCCCCGCCTACTCGCGCTTTTGCCTATCAAACATAAGAATATACCCCCCTCACACGGGTGCGCAGCTTTGCATTCTACCCCTATCTGTGGTGCGCAGCTTTGCATTCTACCCCTATCTGTCATTGGCTAGGCGCACATCGGTTCTTACCCGGCTTCGGCGGCTTGACTCCCGACCTTTCTGAACTTCTCAAAGTATCCCCTTCCGCGCGTGAGGAAAAGTGGGGCCTGTCCCATTCACTGCTCCAGCACCGCATGGAACAAGGGCAATTCGAACTTAGTGCTGCAGCAGAGCATTCAACTTAATGAAATTTTCGAACATGTTTGAGGGACGCTGGACCCGTTTTCCAGCACGTGTCTCTCCCCAGAAATAGATGGAATCATCTAATTTGCAGATCTCACCCCTGAAGGAAGTGGGGAGCTGTCATCTTGCCATATACACGTAGACACACTTATTCAGTCCACGTGCAGCAGAGTGCGGTTGAAGAGCAGATACAACAAGTCGTCACCTTTATCCAGACATTATTCACCTACGCACTCGACAACAGTAGGGAGGTGGGAAAGGAGAGAGGAAGAAGACGTGGATAAAAAAAGGAGAGAGGAGGCAGGAGGAGGTGCGTGTGTGTGTGTGTGTGTGTGTGTGTGTGTGTGTGTGTGAGAGAGAGAGAGAGAGAGAGAGAGAGAGAGAGAGAGAGAGAGAGAGAGAGAGAACACAGGTCCCTTATGCACATAGAAAAAAATTCCTCTAGAAAACGTGGCCATAACGCACCAGGAAGAATACTAGCCGCGTCCCTAGGAACCACCTTCCGGGCTGCAGACTGCCCTGATGTTCATATTGAACAGAAAAAAAAAAAAAAAAAAACGCTGAAAGGATACAGAGAAGATATAGAACTACCAGGCCTTTTGGCTAAGATCACGTGTACTATCTGTTATGATCAGTTAAATATCTGATTCCGGCAAAAAAAACAGAAGAAAAGAATATATATACTGTCACACTGTGAAGCGGAGCGCAAAGGCGGAAAAAAGGAAAACAAGGAAGGGAAAGAAAAAAAGTAAGGAAGGAAAGCCCCACTTGTTCATCACCTCCTACGTACAAGGCCAGCCACGTGGATGACAGGTTGAGCGCTGGCTGCCCCCATCCCCGTGTGTCACAAGGACCCACTTGCACACGGCCAAAAGGCAAAGAGGTAAAGAAAAGGAGGAGGAAACCAGACCTCACAGAGGCAAGAAAAAGAAAAAAGGATCCAGTCAGAGAAAGGACAAGGGAAGAGGAAGGAAGGCGTATAAGCCAAACAAAGCAATTGACACATCCCTCAGATAAACCAATTGGCACTGTCACAACAAAGTTCAACATATTTTATATTTTTCCTTACCTTCTTTTTTCTTTTTTTCTTTTTTTCTTTTCGTTTTTCCAAGTATCGAAAGCTTTATATGTCCTATAATCAGTGTTGCTCCCGACCTGCTTGATTCTATTGAGACCAGTCAGGAAGAGGAGCCCCC